TATGTATTGTCAGGAGGGAATCTATGGTGGTTGACAGAACTACTGAATTGGGGACCTTAGACTGTAGCTTACTAAATGAGAAAATGGGGGAGTGATATTTTCTGGGTCAGGCAGGTGCATCTATGGTAATTCGTAATAGTTTCTACGAGGAGAACTGTCGAAACCTGTTACATTTTTTTTTTTTTTTAATTGTAGTGGATTTCTTTTGCTTTGCGTGCAATACTCGTGAGCCCATTCTTCTTTATGGTCCTCATATTCCTCTCTCTATATATGTTTATTGCAGATACTAGTAAATCCATGCTAATGAATATTCCCATAGCGATACTCTTCCTCGCTGGACTAAGGATATTGCTTAATGAGGTGGAATTCCGCTGGAAGGTTCGGAATAACAGACCAGTTTCTTACTTGTCACATTTAGAGAAGAAGCAGCTTTCAGTGAATGATCCTCGTCTTACTACCCCGCCAGCTCCACCAAAGTGGAAAAGGAAAATAGATTCTCCTGTTGTGGAAGCAGCTATTGAGGATTTCGTCAACAAGCTTTTGCATGACTTTGTCATTGATTTGTGGTATTCTGATATCACACCTGACAAAGAGGCACCAGAGCTAATACATGGTATAGTCATGGATGTTCTTGGTGAAGTATCTGCGAGAGTGAAAGAACTAAACCTTGTTGACCTGTTAACAAGGTATAATCTGTTGTGCTTTTCTTCGGTTACAGAAATTGTATTACAACGGTTGCAGTTGAGTAACTGGTGATATTAGTAATTGACTCTTGTTTTTCCCCAATCATTAGGGATGTAGTTGACTTGATAGGGGATCATCTTGATCTCTTCAGAAGAAACCAGGCTGCCATCGGAGTGGATGTTATGGGCACATTGTCTTGTGAAGAAAGGGATGAAAGATTGAAACACCATCTTATGGCCTCGAAGGAGCTTCACCCTGCTTTGATATCTCCAGAGTGTGAGTACAAGGTGTAGAGGTGTTCTCAATTCAAAGGAATATGTCAAATCTTCCGTTATTGGTAATTTGTTCCTGATATCTAATACATTCTCATTTCAGGTTCTACAGCGGCTCATGGGCGGGCTTTTAGCTGTTGTGCTTAGACCAAGGGAGGCCCAGTGTCCCTTAGTCAGATGCATTGCTCGTGAACTCTTAACATGCTTGGTAATGCAACCTGTTATGAATTTTGCAAGCCCCGAGTAAGATCCTGTCTCCTCATCTCCTCCTTTCCTATGCATAGTTGATTATATACATTTTTCTTTTTCTATAAAGAACTGCTAGTATGAGGGATCACTCTACTAATGCTTGCAACTGCACTCACAAACCACAAGCCCCTGCCAATGGCCGACTCTCGAGCATGACAGTATGAAGAACTTGGTATTGTGTGGGTTTTGTATTGGGATTTGGGAGCATAAGTGGTGGATGAGTCTTGCAAATGCAATGATATTGATGTCTATCAATGATCTTAGATTTATAGCTGGGTTCTTTTGTAACATGTGTTATAGTGGCTGAAATAAGTGACTGAGGAAAATCCAATAAGCTTAATATCCTGGAGTTGAAATGTGCTTAATAGTTTCGTGAAATCTTGAACGACATGTAAATATGTTTTAGTCGTTTCCAGGTGGCAGCATCTGTTGATTATGGTTGGATGGTTGGGTCTTTTGTTCTTGTTTAGCTGTCTTCAGCTATTTGATAATATCACTAAAAAGCAGGCACTTCCATTTATTATCTGTATGCGAATTGTTGAGTCTATTAAACTCTACTGACTGATTGGCGCAAACTCATTAGTTGTTGCCTCGTGGGCGACCAGATTCTTTCAATTTTATCAATTAGGGCTCAAGCAAGCAAATTTTGTTGTTTAATACTAAACCATGAATGTGCTTCTTGTTTGCTTGAAGCTAATTAGAATTGTCTTCGAGAATCTCATTTGCTCGCTTGAAAATGTTGGTGGGCTTATTGAATTGATTAGTGGAGGTTTCATTGAAAAGCTATGAGTGCAAAATTTTAATCATGCTTCTCTTGTATATCGTATATTTTGCGCGCCATGCATTGTTGGTGATAATTTTATATAGTTGTACTACTGACTAGTGCGTCACTCTCTCATCGTTCCAGTTTTTCCCTATTTTGACAATTTTGCTCTTTTGCATTTTAAATTTTTTACTTTGTAATTGCCATTGAAAAATCCAACATTTTTTTATCTTTGTACTCAGGTATATTAATGAGTTGATTGAATACATTATCCTTGCTTACAACAATGAGGGGGGCACAGATGCCACTGATAACTTTTCTAATGTGGAGGGTCATAAACGTCAGCAGACAGATTCTGGAGAACATGGTCAAAACAGTGAATCCGATTTGAAAAAAAATACACCTTCTAACAATCAAGGCACTGACTTGTCTTTGGTTCAACCTGAGTATAAAAGGAAGAAGCTTGAGTTGGGTGACTCTGGTGATCTTTTAACTGGCACAATGCTGGATGAAAACATACACACTGGGCATGCTGAGTGGGCTAAAGTGTTTGAGGCGGCAACCCAAAGAAGAACTGAAGTTCTAATGCCCGAAAATCTTGAAAACATGTGGACAATAGGAAGAAACTATAAAAAGAAACTCCAAAAGAAAGGTTCTCCGGAGCATCATGCTCCGGAAGTTACAGGTTTGGCAAACAGCACATTTGCTACAAAAGACTTGGTGACTGGAGCGTCTAAGCGGAGGCCTGAAATATATGACCGAGTAGAAGACAAAGTTCATATGCAACTACCGCCCAGGCCCCAACAAGATACTCGACCGAGTGATCTCGGTACTGATGCTTTAAGCAGTTCTCAAGAGCTTAACAAGGATGTGTTTCCGAAGGATAAAACCTCTAGTTTACATGAGTTGGATATTTCCCGAGAAAGTAAAAATAGGCTCAAACGATCAAACAGCACATCTGACTTGAAAATTCAGCCCACCCTGGAAAATATTCTTGCCACTAAAAGCAGTACTCCCATCATTAATGAATATTATAGTGCAGATGTTGATAAACTTAACATGCAGAACATTAGTAGTGGTTCGGATATGGTATTACGCCATGAAGGGATGCATATCCCAAAGCTCAGATGTAGGGTAAGTCCGCTGGTTTTCTCTTTATGTCCAAAAGGAACGTTATCTAAACCTATTCTATAAATTTCAAACTGCTCATGTTATCCACAGAGTTGCTTCATGACACAGAACTCTCATTTTTTATTTAACTCTCTTTCTTCTATGATATCGTAATTTTTCGTCGAAAATAAAAATGTTGTTTTCCCTTTTGTTCTTTAAGATGAAAATTTCACATGCAGTTAATTCACTATGACCTTATGTGCAATCAATCCAGGAAATATGTTTTGGTGATGAATGAGTTAACTGCATTAATTGGCTCTATAATCTGATTAGCTTTTTGCCGTGGTTGAGGCTTGAGGTTGTGGGGCTATTTGTCTTCTCTACAGTTTTCTAATGATATTCTATCCGTTGGCTGGGTATTCTGGTTTGCAGGTGGTTGGAGCGTACTTTGAGAAACTTGGCTCAAAATCTTTTGCAGTTTACTCTGTTGCTGTGACCGGTGCAGATAACACCACACGATTTGTGAAAAGAAGGTATGGAATCTAAATTCAATTTTGACTGCAAAACCTTACCACTTTCATGACGTATCTACCTTGTATGATGTTATTTATCAACAAGTTTTCTGATTACATCAACGGAGATATATTAATGTCCACAATCCACATAATATATACTCGTGGGATACTGTACATACAGATACCGGAACTTCGAGAGATTGCATAGGCATCTTAAGGATATCCCCAATTATACATTACATTTGCCTCCTAAAAGGATATTCTCTTCAAGTACAGAGGATGCCTTTGTCCACCAGCGCTGCATACAGCTTGACAAGTATCTTCAGGTATAACCGACTCTGCTTTGTGCTACACAAACGTTTAATGTTCTCGCCATATAGACATTGTAGTCTTTTCCAGGAACTCTTGTCAATTGCTAATGTTGCTGAGCAACATGAGGTGTGGGATTTTTTAAGTGACTCCTCCAAGGTGTGCTTTTATTTTCTGTTAAATTCATTTCATTTGTCCTTTGGCTTCTTGACTGATTTGAATTCTTTTATCGATGAAGAATTACTCTTTTGGGAAATCTCCTTCTGTGATGAGGACTCTGGCTGGTATGTGAAATCTCTTCTTGGACATCATTTTCTGTACATTCAACAGCTACATAATTTTGGTTCGTCCTTATATTTTTGGGATATGTAGTCTCATGCTTCATTTCAACTCTCTCTGTAACAGCGATGGATTTGATGTCTGAAGTATCTTAATTGTGTATCATAACTTTAAGCATTATCATTTTACTGAAGCTTTTCAATATATATTAGAAAGTCTTAAAACATGAGTCCATTTTCTTAAACTCTTTGTATGCATTTTTTCGTATTCAGCCAAGTAGCTAAAGATACATAAATTATCATTCTGTCAGTGAAAATTGTTGGAGTTTTTAGTAATAATAAGTAAGTTCTAATGTGTGTGCTATAGTGTCTCATTCATGGGGGGACATTATTTTGTTCTCATGGTGCTTTCCTTTTCCGTTGTTTAAATCGGCTCAAAACTTTATTTCCCATTTTCATTTTGTTATGGCTTTAAGATTGGTGTGATTTGAATTGTGACTTTAAAAGTATTATGCACATGATTTAAACACTTTATGAGAAACCTTCCTCGACCAAAACAGTCAATGTTGATGATGCTATGGATGATATCGTACGCCAATTCAAAGGGGTATCTGATGGCCTTATGTGGAAAGTTGGTGGCTCACCTTCATCTTCTTTTGGACAAACTTCTTCTGTTGCGCCCAAAAGTCTTTCCTGGAATGCTGATGATATAAACAAGTTGACTTTAAGGCCAAGTACCTCAGAGTCTCTGAACAGTTTCTCTGACAATGATGATGGGGATAAAGATGTGGGCCATGACGAACAAGAAGTCGAGGCTGTGACCCGAGCTAGTGGTCTACATTCAGACTATGAGTTAAGCTCAAAGGGGTTCCCAACAAGGGTGGTTAAGCACGATGAAGATGTTGGTAACTTTGTTTCCGAAGAGATAGCTCGTTCGAGGTCAAAATCGGAGTTCAATTCCATGAGCAGATATCCAGAACAAAATATGTCCTTATCGTATGTCCCTCAAGAGGACCCAACTGGGGTTCCTCCAGAGGTAAGCACATTAATTATGTGCTTTCCATTTTCATTTATCTTCTGTAATTCTGTATTTCTATATTTTGAAACAATTGTGTCCCTGTCTGTACAGTAAGCTGCAAGCATAATGAATGCTTGCTTTCCTACCTATTTATTCTATAATATATAATTATTATACATATGCATGTACGTATCCATGTATATTGGAAATTTTTGCACAACTACGACCTTGTTGAATCCAAAACTTTTTCTCCTTGTTAGATTAGTTTCTGTACATGTTGAAAATTATATATATCGTAATATTAGAAAAGTTTCTGTACAACCTTGTCGAATCCTAAACTTTTGACCATTATTAGATGAGTTAGTAAATTCACCACCTTCTTAGTAGCCTATCATCCAAAGTTGTGTATTGCTGTGGCTGGGATATATGTCTGTTAGTGTAGCTTTGATTTTTGGCTTAAGGAACTTCATATTGTTATAAGTCTGTTAGGCTCTCTGGATCACTTTCATGCTTAATCTAATTTATTTAATGATGTTCCTTGCAGTGGACGCCTCCAAATTTGAGTGTTCCAGTTCTGAATTTAGTTGATAATGTATTTCAGCTCAAGAGAAGGGGCTGGCTAAGGTGCCGCTTCCATTTTCACACTTGTCGTGATGAGTCTTCTTTAAATAAATATTTTATTATCATTCTTCTACCATATTCTCTGTGATATCTGCAAAATTCAGTGAGGCAATATCGAATTGTTTAAGCCATTTTGTCTTTCTTAATTCTTATAGGAGGCAGGTGTTTTGGATATCAAAGCAGATATTGCAGTTGGTCATGGAAGATGCCATTGATGACTGGCTGTTGAGGCAAATCCAATGGCTCCGCAGGGAGGATGTTATCGCACAAGGGATTCGGTGGGTCCAAGATGTAAGTTTCAAGGATTTTTTTTCGCTAAACGAGTAACTTCTTCTGATCTCTTTCTGATATACCGAAACTTAATCGAATTTTGAATGCCGAATATGTGCCAACTATCCTTGTCGACATCTTCTCATTAAGGTTCTGTGGCCTGGTGGCACATTCTTCCTGAGATTGCGTGCTCAAAATCAACAAAGTGGCTGTGAAGAATCCCAGCAGACGAGGCAATCTGGAGGAACGAGGGTCCCACAACCTGGGTCTTTCGAACAACAGCTTGAAGCTGCCCGCAGGGCTAGTGATGTGAAGAAGATGATATTCAGTGAGTGCCTTGGTTTCAGTTTTTGCCAATAATGTGCTCATTTTTTGTACTCGAAAAAAAGGGTAAAGAAGATAAAAGAAACACACTCAAAATAAAAAAAAAACCCGAAAATTGGCTCATGATTTCCTGTTTCAAAACATAACCTGATAGTAAAATAAATAAAATAAAATAAATATTTGCATGAATGTGAGTCTCTCTTTCTCTCTCTCTCTCTCTCTCTCTCTCTCTCTCTCACCTTTTTTCCGGCCATGCAGATGCTAGTAAAAATTGTTGGGTTAATTAGCTAACAACTAAACCCTTTTCTTATCTTGCAGATGGTGCTCCCACAACTCTGGTCAGCTTAATCGGGAACAAGCAATACAGGCGTTGTGCTAGAGATATTTACTATTTTCTTCAGGTACGACATCTGTCGAACACTTTTTTTTTTCTCTCTCTCATCTATAATTATATTAAAAGAATAACCATTTTAAATGTTTGGCGTCAATTTTAAGTAAAGTACCCGCCAATCTCATAAAAAGTGTCCTAAAAAATAGATATTGTTGGACATTTATGAATAGGTGATTTATTGGGATACCGTACATAGAAGAAGTCTTATCCCATTTTTAATCTGTTCACACTTAAAAAATTGAACCTGTTCACACTTAATTCCATATAAAGAATCCGATTCCTATAAATTTTAAAAATCTCATCTCTTATCTATTTACTCTAACATATTTTTTCTAAAAAACTATCGTAATAGAATTTCTTTTTTCTTCAAACAAGTTAATTGTCTAATTGCAACGGTAATTTTTTTTTTTAGAAAAATAATTTTCACTCATCTAAATACTAATATTTTTTAACAATTATTAACCCTTATAATATTTTAGATATTTTAAACATTAGACAAAGACTAAGGAGCTATATATTTAGAAAGTGGTTTCAAACATTTTTTAGAATAATATAGAATATTGTATATACTTTTTATATAGGTGATATAATAATTTAGAGGTCTTTAGTATATTTATCACATATTTCTCTCCAAAACTACATACAATAAAAAGTTATAAGAAGAAATGTAGAATTAAATATTGTCTTCAATTTTTATCTGATTATTAGTTATATATATTTGTTACAGTTTACATTAATCTCTGAGTTGTATTTGTAAACTTAATAAATCTGCATAAAGCGTGAAATTATAATGTGTACAAATTTCTTTTTAACAGTAACAAACTTATAAAAAAATAATAATTTTGAAATATTATATACTCAAATTTTGAGAAGTACCTTCATAATTTGGGATCATGTCAATATTTATTTTATATATACTTAAGTAAATTTTCTCTCAGAAAATTTATAATATCTTTATTTAGGTTTATAAAATTTTAGATACTTTTATATAATATTTTATCATGTCATATTATAACTATATATACATATACGCACACATACACACACACACATATATAATTATTAAGTTTAAATATTTTTAGACATGTTTTTTTTCCAAAATAGCTTAGGAAAATTGTAAGTGTCTTCAAATCTATAAATATATAAAAAGACAGCCTATTTACAAAAAATATTAACATAAAAATCAACCAACGTTTAACGCATTCCAATTTCAGCAGTTTTTTAATTTTCTTTTAATCTTAACCCAAAAAATCGGTCATCCATAAATGCACTCTAAATTGATGGGTTTTGTTGATGTATGTTTTGAAAATTTCAGATATCAAAATCCATTCTCAATTAAATAGAAATCAAAATTTGTTCTCATTTTTTATTCAAAAAATCTAACTGAAAATAATTAGGTCTCATTTCGAAGATAAAATTTTAATTTTTAAATCCCTTATCATTGAGTTGCCATAAAATCGGCCCACATTTATTGCATGCCGGTAGTTTTTTTAATTTTTTTAATTTATTAACCTCAAAAATCGATTAACCTTAAAATGCACCCTAAAATGATGGGTATTGTAGACTTAATTTTGGTAGATTTCGGTAGTGTTTACGATTTTCTAAAAATCAAAATCCTTTCTCATTTTTTATTCGAAAAATCTGGTTAAACTAAAAATTGGTTGAATGAAAATTTTCAATTAGAAAAAATACAATCACATATTCTCATATAAATGAACTTCCTATTAAACTACTATTATTTATATATTTTTGTTTTATTTTTGCAATATAAAATTCGAATTAAGTATAGATTATCAAGAAAGACGTTTTACGATATCCGTTATATTTTGCTATGCAATCTTCATAAAACATGTATAGATCATATAAGATATATCCTGCTAAATAATTTAATTGATTTATTTAAACCTGTCTAGAATCCTAATATATGTAACCTTCACGGCTAGCTTTATGCATGTTTTACGCGCTACGAATCTTAAGTGTTTGAAAATTTTAATTTGTGGCGGTAGACGATTTAACAAAAGGGCAAACAAATAATGTTGTATACAAGAATGTGTTTCTTAATATATAAATTACATTTTATTTTATTCTAATATATGCGTTTTACGTTTTTTCTTCATCCAATCTAAATGCTTACCATAATAAAGCTAGCCCGTGCATCGCACGGGTACCGCACTAGTACCTGTAAATACCCGAGCCTTCTTGTTTTCTTACCAAGCATGCATACATACCCATCAGTCTCATCACTCAGCTTCTTCTCTTCTTATATGCTCCCTTTATTTTGTAAATGACTTGCAGTCCACAGTTTGTTTGAAGCAACTTGGCTACGGAATTCTGGAACTTGTTCTGATATCTATTTTCCCTGAATTACGTGATGTCGTGATGGATATTCACGAGAAGAATGAATGGTGAGCTAATGCAGTGAAGCTAAAGTTTTTCTTGTTATTTTTTGCCTTCTCAGTGTGTGAAGATAGTCAAAATCTCCTGCACTAGTTTTTGTGGTGATAAAATGTTCAAATTAATGGAGAAAGTATGCGCGGTTAATCGTAGCTGCTATTTTAGAATATGAGATGTGCAGTATTTGATACCTTTTTTTTTTTTTTTTTTTTTTTTTTTTTTTTATAAACCTACTCTATTCATTATGTATAAGATGTCTTTATGTACAGTCATTATTTTTCTCGTGAAAGATTAGCCAGGTGCTTTTATTTTGAAGTTTGGAATGAATTGGCGTTTCTTGGATAAAATTGGTGCTTTTATTTTGCAGTTTGAAGAAAATTGGTGTTTCTTAGATTAGTCTCTATATATTCGCTTCCGTCTGTTCGATTTTTGGTTCTCATGATGGATAAAACGAAGTTTCGGTTAAACGAAAATTCAGTCGGTTCAATGCAGTTTCGACCAAATGAGCATCGTTTTCAATGGTTATAATGGATAAATCGAAGTTTCGGTTAAACGAAAGTTTGGTCGTTTCAGTTCGGTTTTGTCCGAATGAGCAGCCCCACTGTAGGGGAGTTCATATCACAGCAGCACCATTTTTGTAACGAAATCTTGGCTTAGTTTTTTGAATGGCTGGTTTTGGACTACGTGCATGTACAGTATAGTATAGATCATATGTGGAAATATTTATATTTTTTAATTACTTAATCATAATGATTGTAGAAGAGAGTTTAATATGTTAATTACAACTATGAAAATATTAGTCAAATTTAAAATCCTTGAGTTTAAAATAATGAGTATTATTGCGTAATAAATATAAAAAATCATATAATTTTTGTGGTGGGCATCCCCTATATACAATTTCAAAATGCGTTGTGGTAGACTCTCACGTATCGAAATCCTATATGGCACAAAATCATGCTTCGTAGTCAGACTGGACATAAATTAATATTTTTTATAGAAAAATAATTAGGCTTGGATTCATTTAATGTCTCTATTTTTCATACTAAATCATTATTGATATCATTCTTTTTTGTTCTACAATTAGTTACCATAATTATTTTATGTTTTTTCTTTTCATACATAACCATATATTCCATTTTTTTCTTATTTAATTCATACATCAATTATTATAAATGTTTCTTCTTCTTATTTTTTAAATTTTAAAACTTTTTTTGTTTGTATTTATTTTTCGTATATGATTTATCGAATTAATTGTCTGATTTGACATCCATATTATATATAAATACATAACAATGATATAAATCCTTCAAAATAAAGTTTAAATTTATTTATCAAATTGAATTAAAAAATATCAAATAAAATTATAAGTTATTTTATAAAGTAATAGAAGTTTATGTTTATTAACATACCATAAATAATTATTTTACTTGAAAAGAAATATGTAAACTAAGTATAATATAAGAAAATATTTCAAAAGTTCATATGTCAACTTAAATAAAGAATAGTAG